GGGTCACCTCCGATAACTTGACAACCAGCTTCAGGTACCTCATCAAAAAAACTGACGCTACCATTCACACATTTACACCGACAAGAATAGCCTAAATTTCGTCGATTGGGGTGTAAATGATTGATACAATTGTTCACAGTTCCTGCTGCATAGTTCCACCATAACCTCTTTACTTCCCGAACAATAGAACTATCATACCAACCAATAAAACTAATAAAACTATCACAATCTCTTTGCTTAACAAACAATAGAACTATCATTAACTCTTTGCTTCTTCGATTCCCAACGAACAGAACTATCACAACCTCTTTGCTTCCAAACCAATAGAATCATCATTTATATATTAACCTCTTTGCTTCCCAACCCAAAAGAACCATCATTTAAAAATTAACCTCTTTGATCCCCAACCAATAGAACCACCATAACCTCTTTGCTCCCCAACCAATAGAACCATTATAACCTCTTTGGTCCCCAACCAATAGAACCATCATAACCTCTTTGCTCCCCAACCAATAGAATCATCATAACCTCTTTGCTTCCCAACCAATGGAACCATCATAACCTCTTTGCTTCCCAGCCAATGGAACCATCATAACCTCTTTGCTTCCCGAACAATAAAACTAACACAACCTCTTTGCTTCCGGACTAATTATTTATCACAGCCTCTTTACATCCCTACCTACAGAACTATCACAATCTCTGTACTTCCCAACCAATAGGACTATCATAACCTCTTTGCTCCCCAACCAATAAAATTATCAGAACCTCTTTGCTTCTTTACCAATATACTTTCCGCAATCCAACCAATAGATCTGTCGCAACTTCTTTCCTTCCCAACCAATAGAACTATAATAATTCCTTTGCTTCTTTGTTTCCCAACCAATAGATCTTATATAATTCCTTTCCTTCCCAACCAATAGATCTATCGCAACTTCTTTCCTTCCCAACCAATAGAACTTTAATAATTCCTTTGCTACTTTGTTTCCCAACAAAAAGAACTACCAAAACATCATTGCTTCTTTGTTTCCCAACCAATAGATCTTATATAATTTCTTTCCTTCCCAACCAATAGAACTATAATAATTCCTTTGCTTCTTTGTTTCCCAACCAATAGAACTACCATAACACCTTTGCTTCTTTGTTTCCCAACCAATAGATCTTATATAATTCCTTTCCTTCCCAACCAATAGAACAAAATGATTCCTTTGCTTCTTTGTTTCCCAACCAATAGAACTATATAACACCTTTGCTTCTTTGTTTCCCAACCAATAGATCTATCATAATCCCTTTGCTTCCCAAACAAACACCTGGCGCGCTGCCCTCGTTTAGATCATCACCTGGGAGGCTATAAATGTCAGTGGTGGCGACAAATATCTCAGCGATTAAAATGTCTTTTTTCATTCGAGGGGTAGAGGGGGGGGGGCGAGATAAGGAAGGAATTGGAGGTGAGTCTTTGTGTGTGTGTGTGTGTGTGTGTGTGT